GTTTGTGATTCCATATCTACCTCAGGGGGATCGGCCATAAGAATAATAGGTTTGGGGAAATTTGATGTTTCAAGGTTAGAAGGTAAGGTTCTTTATGAAGAAAATGAGGCTGTTTCAGAGCTGGAAGGAGTATTTTGCTGGGATGGATCAATTGTAGCAATAACTGGCAGCTTTTGTTGGCATTGATCTCGCAAAAAGGCCTCTAATGGATTTGAAACCGTGTGGGAAGAAGGAGGTTCCTAAGAAGTATTGAGGAAAACTCCTAATGAATTTTGAAGCTGACAAAACTCTCTATGTTTATCTTGTAAATCTGACATGCACTCCGTTCCAGGTTAATATATTCTGAAAGTTCAGAAGGAAATATTAGATTTTACAAGTTTTCTGAAAGTTCAGACTCAGAACTAAAAGTTTAGACTCAGATCTTAAAGTTCAGACTCAGACTTAAGATATTCAGACTTTACCATAAAAGTCTTTCAGACTCTAAATATTCAGATTTTACTGAAGACCTATGCTAACTCAAGTTCTGAATTAGAAATTCTTCAGACACAGTAGTTATGCAGACGCAGACGCTGAAGTTTTTCAGACGCAGAAGCAAAACTCATTAAGAAGGAATCACAACAACTAGTGATCTGGCATGGATTTCACAAAAGGAAGGTTTTGATTGACTCAATCTCAGTCTAATTGATTGACAATCAAACATTATGACAAGTATGCATTACAACGGATAAAGCTCTACTTATAGAAACCAAGATTCTGATTGTATGGGCGACCAGAATCAGCGGGATTCAAATTTTGTCAACCAACGGCTACTCAATCCATTTTATACAAATCTATCCAAGATGAAGATTGGAAGATGATCCTCTGAAAACTATCCAACGGCTAGTTTGGTAGTGGAGGAGTATAAAAGGAGATCTACGAGGAGCAGAAGGTAGAACGAAATTAAGAATCAACAAGTCCAAAGTCTGAGCATACTCCGATCCTTTCTCTTGTCTTTCTTGAGCGAAACATTAAGATCTTGAGGGACACTTTGTAAAAGTGATTGTGTGAAATAGAGAGTCATATCATACACAAGAGTGCTGTCACTCAGAAGCTGTAATTCCTCTTGATTACATAGTGAAATCCAGTCGGTAGGCTGTCAGCGTAGGAGAGTGGACGTAGGCTTGCTATAAGCCGAACCACTATAAACTTATGTGCAGTTTTTCTATCCCTTATCACTTACTTTACATACTGCACATCAAGAGAAACTGTTTTGAATCTGAATTAAATTCAGACTCAACTGTGATCATTCATTTCCGCTTAAATATATAAAAATTGTTTAAGATCACCTATTCACCCCCCCTCTAGGTGATCCTTGCTAGCTACATCAAGAAGGCTCGGGAACATTTGACTTCTTCTCCTGCTGCATCTTCTTTTGTTTTTCTATTTCGCGGATACGATTTCAAAGTGTAACAATATCACTCCGACTTTATTTTGGGGCTTTCGCAATGATTGAGGCAATTGAAATAAATTTTGGAGGAGAGATTTCCATTCGAGTTGGATACAAAGGTTGAAAAAATGGATCTAACGTAGGAACAAATTTTCCTTCTTGAAGGAGTTTAATTTGCCTATGTAACTTTTCCATCTTAGCAGTTTGATCTTCCAAACAGTGATGGGAAATATATTTACCCGTTTCCATTTGCTACAATTTTTTCTGGAATGTCTCAAGCAATTTGTTTGTGACCAAAGCCGTTTGATCAACCTTCTTATCCACATGATCAAGACGGGCTTGGACAGTTGAAAGTCTTGTATCAATTGTCTTGAGAACATTATTTTGCGCCAGAGCATTTTCTAACTGCCAATTCAGAACAGCTTCTGCGGCAGTAACTTTCTTTTGTCTCCCATGATCATCGATATCCGTAGTGTCTGGAATTTTTGGCATTTGTCAAAACTGATGATGTGCGTCTGTAAATTCTTCTAATGCCGAGAAAGAGGCACTAGAATTGGTCATTTCCAAAAGCGAAAAGTCCGAGGGTTGGAACATGCAAATAGTTGGGAGTACTGGCGATGGTTCAGGCTTTGAAACACATGAAAGCTGGGGTGCTTTAGGTAATTACAAAGGATATGAATTTTTCCTAATCCATTTTTGGATAAGTTTATAGAAGGGTGAAACAACTGGCTTTTGTAGTGGAGCTTTTCTGGGTGATGATTGTGGTGGTGAAGGAGGCTCACAAGATTCAGGAATTGGAGGAGTCTGTGACCGGAGTGGTCCTTAAGAAACCATGAATTGGTATTTTCCTCCATCTTCACCAAGGGTTCCCACAGTAGGATCCCCATCAAGATATCTCTGGTAGAGAATATCTTTGGATTGTTTCTTTTTCTTTTTGGATGGTCTGTCATCTTCTTCATCATCAGGAGGGTTTGTACAGAGGGAACATTGACAATCAAGATCCCAGAAACAGTGGCCTATTCGTGGATGCTTGTAATAATGAATGGGTCATCCCTCTTGATCAAAAAACTCGATCATAGTCTTCGGATCTGAGTCACCTTCCTCAATTGGAATATCGGCATGACAGGGTTGCATCATAAAAATAGTAGGAAAAATAGAAGAAGAAGCTTCCTCCTTTTCCTTACTAAATTTAATGACAACTGTACCAACTTTCTTTTTTGTGAACTGGGATTTCATATACTGGATAGGCCTGGAATTCTAGTTGAGCTTTTCATAGTTAGTTACCCAAGTTTTAGGGAGTAACTTAACTAGTTGATCTCGAGGAATTTGTCCGGGTAAATGGATACAGGAAGTCTGATCATTGTCCACTGAGATAAAAAGGGCGTCCTTTGTACCTGAAAAGTTGAGATCAATAGCATGGTTATGGACTCGGTAGACCATCTGGTAGTGTAAAGTTGCAGCTATAGAATCAAGAGTCTGAGGAGCTCCGGTGAGTTGTAGCTAAACTTTAAGAGCAAAAAGGAGTCTCGGATCCAAAAGGGCCATATTAAAATTTGGAAACAGTGTAACAAACACTGTTCTGGCATTTAGGGTGGTTTAGATTGTACCAATGCAAGCATGTTGGTAATCCAAGAAATGAGTGTCTAAAAAGGCCATGCGAGCAACAACAGGTAATCATTTTCGACCATGGAAAGAGAGAGCAAGGCGGATAGCACCAAAGTGGAGATGCGTATACCCTTGTTGTGCCCATTGACGTGGAAAGTCAGAAGGTATCTGGAGGGTAACGAAATGTTCTTGCTGAGTAGCAGGAATAGGATGCTGGTCAAACCGGGATGACTGAATATATTCTTTAACTTCCCGGGATGTGTGTTTGATAAGTTGTTTGATGGAACGGAGAAAAGAAAAATAAGGTGGTTTGGAGAAAACAGAGTAGGGATTAATAAGGGGGAGATGAGTTTCCGAAATCTTACTATCTTCATTAAGGTATGAAACCTCATAAAGATAGTCAATTTTAGAAACATTTGAAGTACGAAGATCTAAAGGGGCATTTACAGTGACTGGTGGAGTAGAATCAGTAGAATCACTCATGATGGAATAAATCTACCTTTTCCACCTGGTATTTCATCCAAAAACAAACAAGTAGGCTGAATAGAACGCTAGCTCTGATACCATAAAGAGGTACTAAGATGTAAATCAAGGAAGACGAAGACAAGGCTTGTGGCAGGTATGTGACTGCACATGATAAGTTTTAGAAGGCAAGTTAGTCATATATCATCTCTATGAGTGAGGAAAAAAAGAGAACTACTACTTTATAACTATATTTCATAACTATATATGGATGTGCATTTGACATTAACTCTGGTCAAATTTTACCCGAAACTATAGTCACATGCTCTCACATGCAATACATACTTGAAAAGTTCATCTACTCTTTTTATATGTATATACTTATATAATCAATCACGTACTGTCACGTGGTTGGAGCTTTGAGTAAAATTTGGTAAGAGTCCATGCCAGGGGACAAATTATAACCGATTTCTAAAATTTAGGGTGGCAAATAGCAAAAATTGTAACGTGGGGAAGTACTTTGCAACAATCTTAAAAACTTTGGAGGCAATTTGTATCTTTGCTGTCAAAACCTGTGTAGTTGACTATAGGATTTGACTTTTGTACAACTGATCAACTGAGGAACTGATCATCAATCCATGTAATTGTCTTTAACTGAGTTCCCTCTACTTCAATCACATCTCTCTCTCTCTCTCTCTCTCTCTCTCTCTCTCTCTCTCTCTCTCTCTCTCTCTCTCTCTCTCTCTCTCTCCAAGTGTTGCGTGGTGATGAAGTCGCGCTCGGCTCTGACACCGTGCCGCCTTCAGGCCGAGCCACCACCATTCCTCTAAGCCGTGGGGCTACCGCCGCCTCCCCATGCCTCTCCATGTTCGTGCTCCCGTATCCTCGCCACCATCACGTTACCCTCAACATCTTTTGTGGCCATCAAGATCTCGACCTCACGGTATATAGCCTCAGGGCCGTGCAAAGAGGTGCCTCATGCCTCCAAATCTAGAGGTCGTCTATCAAGTTCACGGAGAGAGATTAATTTTTAATTTGTCCTATCTCTAACTCTCATCACTCTCTAATTTTTGTTCTACCGGGCAGAAGTCGAACCCTGCATTTGTGATATTAGTATCTCCACTCCTCAATTCCTATACCAACATAACCGCATGCCTATTGGCGTTCTTCGTCCCTGTGGAGTAGTGATAAAATTGCCAAATCTTCTGCAATTGGCACGTTGCAAAATTGGGGGGGGGGGGGGGAGTCAATGTTCGGACATCTCCTCGAAATCTACCCTCAAGCGTGTTCCGTACTCTCTGCTTTTAATTTTTTTAAGCTTCATATATTTCGGAACCGTGAAGCACATGAGCATATATGATCATCTGGTCTTTTTTTGGCTATCCCCAAGCGCGTGGGGCCCACTGTCTACTCGGCTCGCGGTCCCGCCTCGTTTTGATCGTGCAAATTTTGCAAGTCTGACTCGGACACACCCGACACCCTCCTCCTCCTCCTCCTCTCTCCCTATAAATATCTGCGTCCCACCATCCGAACTCCGCCTTCGGACATCCTTCCGTGATCGATCATAGCATTCGGACAACTTCCTCAGCATCTCTCTCCCTCTCCCTCCCTCTTCGCCTTGCTCCATCGCAAGCGCTCATGGATTCCTGCAGCAAGTCAGCCCGCGAGCCGTCTTCCCCCTTCGACTCCCTCATCTTCGGTAAACGCATCAATTTTAACATCAACTCCGTGATTCTTTTCTCTTGAATTAGCGAACATCTCTCGCCTTACTCAAATTCGTGTGTTCCGGTTCGCTTTTGGCTGTCTGTCTGCAGACTTGGACGACACCCTGTACTCTTCCAAGACCGGGATCGGCGCGGCCCTCAAGCAGAACATCGACGGTGCGGCCCATCATTTTTATTCTTTTTAAGCCGGAACCGCGAAAAAAGCTCGCATTTTCGAGCTCTTCGCGCTACGCGAATGGTCGCTGATCCTCTTGCTCTCTGTGTGTGTGTTTGCTGATCCCCTGTGCAGATTTCCTCATCGAGAGATGCGGGTTCGCGCCGGACCAGGCGTCGAGCCTCCGGGTCGAGCTCTTCAAGACTTACGGCAGCTCCCTCGCCGGCTTGCGAGTAATCAATCGACCCCTCTCTCTCTCTCTCTCTCTCTCTCTCTATCTCTCTCGTGCCATTTCGGATTCTCGAAGACTTCTTGTTGAATTTGGAGCAGTTGATCGAATGACTGACTTCTCTGTCTTGCTCTGTGATGCTCGCAGGCGTTAGGCTACGACGTCGACGCCGATGATTACCACAGGTGTCCTACTTCTCTCTCTTTCTCTCTCTCTCTCGCGCTTTCCCTATCTTATTTTGTGAATATTCTTGGAAACAAACACAAGTTGAATGTTCTAAGCCAAACTGTTCTTCGTCGATCATCAAGCAGTGTCGTGCACGGAAGACTGCCGTACCACTTGATCAAGCCCGACTCGCAGCTGCGCAATCTCCTGCGCAGCATCACGCAAAGGAAAATCGTGAGTTCCAATGTTCAGAAAGTTTTCCTCCATTGGTTGAGAAAATCTCGGCTTTCCCTGAACTGGTGCGCGTTTTTTTTTTTGACTTTGCGGCAGATTTTCACGAACTCGGACAGGACACACGCGATGAGGGCGCTGAGGAGGCTGGGGCTGGAGGACTGCTTCGACCAGATCGTGTGCTTCGAGACCATGAACCCGAACCTCGCCGAGTCCTCCCGACCCGGCGAGTTCCCGGTGGTCCTGAAGCCGTCGCCGGAGGCCATGAGGATCGCCCTCCGCGAGACCAGCGTCGATGCCCGTCGAACGGTAACCGCCGCACTTTCATCTTCCGATCAAACTAATTCGAAATTTCGCGTTCAAGTATGTCAATTAGAATAGAATATCGGCTAAACCCGCGTTTGTTTGGTGCTGAGCAGCTGTTTCTTGACGACAATGTCCGCAACATTGCTGCGGGCAAAGCTGTGGGACTTCGTACCGTTCTGGTAAGACTCGCCTTTTCGTCTAGGACATTGTTTTTTATTACACCAATCGGACGAATTTGTCGTGGCCTTTTATCGCGACGGTTCGAAAACATCGACTTCGCCAATCGATTTAACAAACTTTCGTTAGGTAATTTGTACTTCTAATTAGGAATACGTTACACTATTTAGTGTACCGACTTAACGAACGAAACTTCTCGCGCTAAAAAGGTTATCATGTGACAATCAGTTCGTGGTAGTTACTAGTTACTTACGCTTGAAAATATCCAGCAATAATGTTATGTGAATAATTGAGAATGATTGGATGGTTTGGTTTCGAAGAGATTTCAGGACAAAAGCTTGCTTCGTTACTTTGACGAATTGGGTTTTGACTTTTGTTTTATCTCCTGAAGGTTGGGAAGACTGCGAAGACCAAGGAAGCCGACTACACGCTGGACGCCGTGAACAACCTGCCGAACGTCGTCCCGGGAATTTGGGTCAACCCCGCCGCCGCCGGCAGCGGCGATCAGGTCATCGGCGGCGCCCGGAGCGAGATCGACTCCATCCTCACCCCGGTTGGAGCGTGAACCGTCCACACCACGTCACCCCATGTACAAAACCAACCGCGCAATGTTCCCTTAGGAAATGTGAATTAAGTCTTCTCAATTATGTGAAGGAGATATGTACAGTTTGGGTCAATAAATAAATATCCAAAGGGAGTTATCCCGTGTCCCCGTCAGTCGAATAATACAAAACACGGAGCATCACGATGTCGTAACGCTCGTGGTGGTGGGTACGAAGGTTCGGTTTTGCTGTGACGTCCAACCCGACCCATCCGGGAAGTTTTCGGATTTGACCTGTAATTGCGTCTTGGAGCAACGAAACGTTAAATCAAATCGGACGATTGATATTCCAAAGTGGGTACACGCATGCACATCTTATCTTCGGGGTGATCCCAGCTCACGAAGGCATCGATCCCGTACGCACTGTTCTTCTTTTTTAATTCAAACCTCCTCTTTTTAAATTCTTTAAATTTTGGGTTGGCGATAAATAAGGGAAAATTTCAATTAAGGACCCTAAGTGGGGTCAAATTCTCAAAAAGGGGTTCAAAGTGAATATTGTGTCGAATAAGGGCGCGAAGTCTTCAATCGATCCGAATAAGGCCAGAAGTCAAAATGTCTCAAATAAGGACCTAGGTCCCTAGCAAAATACTGCTTGGCGTGAGAAGTCTTGTTCCGACCTAACAGTAACTTTAAATTTTTATTATTTTCTTTCTTTTTTCCTTTTCTGTTTTTGTTCTTTTCCTTTTCCTTTTCCTTTTCCTTTTCTTTTTCTTTTTTTTTTATTTTCTTCCTCCGCTAGGCCATAGCCGCCGTGAGGTCGCCGGCCTCGAGCGAGACCGCCCTCGCCGGCGTCGGGCGAGGGCCGCCTCGCTGGGGCGGGCGAGCCCGGCCTCGCCGGCGTCGGGCGAGGCCCGGCCTCGCCGGTTGTCGGGCGAGCCGGCCTCGTCCGGTTGCGAGGCGAGGTCGAGCCTCGCCCGGATCTGGCTAAGGTCGACCTCGCCCGACGCCGGCGAGGCTTGACCTCGCACGCAGGCCCAGCGAGGCCCGGCGAGGTCGAGCCTCGCCCGGCCGGCGAGGCCGAGCCTCGCCGGATCCGGCGAGGCTCGACCTCGCCTGCAACTGGCGAGGCCGGCCTCGCCGACAACGGCGAGGCTCGACCTCGCCCGCAATTGGCGAGGCCGGCCTCGCCCAGACAACGGCGAGGCTCGACCTCGCCCGCAACCGGGCGAGGCCGGCCTCGCCCGCAATCTGGCGAGGCCGCGAGGTCGAGCCTCGCCCGGCGGCCGGCGAGGCCGAGCCCTCGCCGAGATCGGCGAGGCTCGACCTCGCCGCAACCGGCGAGGCCGCCTCGCGCCTCGCGGCGAGGCGGGCCTCGCCCGGCCCAAGCGAGGGCGGCCCTCGCCCGACGCCGGCGAGGGCGGCCTTGCCTGAGGCCGGCGACCTCCGCCAACCCCGGCTATGGCCGGCGGAGAAAGAAAATAAAAAAAAAAGAAAAGGAAAAGGAAAAGAACAAAAACAGAAAAGGAAAAAAGAAAGAAAATAATAAAAAAATTAAAAAGTTATCGTTCGGCTTGCCGAACAAGATTTATCTCACCGTGGCAGTATTTTGGCCTACGGATCCAGTCCTTATTCGAGCATTTTGTGCACTTCTCGGCCCTTATTTGAGACGATCGGACAGCACTTCGCCCTTATTTAACACAACGTTCACTTCTGACCCCCTTTTGCACTGACCCCACTGATCCTTAATTGAAATTTTCCCGATAAATAATGTTGGCGAGGGCAAAGATACAGCGAGGAGGACACGCGTAAGCATGCTCGTGCACCTTGTAGCCGATGGTGGTTGTGCGAGCGTTGGCGTTGTCTGTGTCTTTCGTTCAAATTATGAAGAAAAATCTCAAATCGATAAATCTGTAGCTAAACCTTTAAATTCATATAATTATGATAAATTTATCTTAAAATAATTTTTTAACTATAAAAAATCTCAAATTAATATATTTATAATAAATTTATTCTTTATTAGTTTCCGTTAAATTAGATTAGTATCATGGCAAACCACAAATTATTACACATATAACAAACGGAAGGTAAATGCTCAAATTGGTGCATCCATAAATTGACACGTATCATCTAACTCAGTAATTTGATGGTAAAATTTAATGAAAACTAACATATACTAAAATTTATCTCAAATATATCAGTTCAGGATTTTTCGTGATATTAATTCAATCTCGAAACTCGAGCAAACATAAACATAACCGCCCACCGAAAACCGTTTTAAAGAAATCAGGCGATGGGGATGCCTTTTGCTTCCCGGGAGGAGTCCCGGTCGGCCGCCATCGTCCGGAATCATGCAAAACTCATCAGCCCATCGAAAGCGCTCATCTTACTCTCTAGCCATACGTGACACGCACCATATACTATGATTAGTGTTATCGCGTCGAGCGGGACCATCCAATTATCATAATGTCGCATCGTATCGTCATCGTGCACATCCACATCCACATCCAGATGCTACAGCACGCGTCACCATCCTCGTTGCATTATGAGTGTACCCTCCTCTGTTCGCCTCAGCACCATCTTTCTGACGCAGGGACACACCACGGTTCGTTCGGATTCGTGAAATTGGACGGACGCATCGCGACGAAATAGATAATTGGACGATCGCGTAGCATCGACTTGCGCTCACGTCGGATATTTTTCGATCCTACGTTTACGGGTAAGAGACGGGAAGTAGAGATTCCTGTGCTTGTTTGGAAATGTTAGTAGGACAAAAGTTCCGCGCCTGATAATTGGCATGATAAGAAGCACTCGATGTAAATATCTAGAACTTACCCATCGAAACAGATTTCTAATTTTATGAAACGTGAAATCTACTATGCATACATTGAAACCTAAAACTTATCATGTCACAGATTTCAGGATAGATTTCAGGGTCAACCCAAGTTCACCTATATTATAAATTGAACGACTGCAGTGAATTATCACTTACAATGACCATCACTTGCTGTTACAATTTACTGACCACGACTTATATTTAGACACACGAAAAATATGAAAACATTAACAAAGCGAAAGTCTTAATCATAAAATAGAAGCCCGGACTCATGGTTCCAAACTATACACTCGTCATCGGACACCATAGAATACCGCGGGATTGCTCGAAGACATAGATCAAGAAAAACACAAAAAAAATTGTTCCAGGTTCCAAATTCTAGGCTCTAGGTTTCAGGTTCCATTTACCTAGAACCTGTAACCTATCTTGTATATCCGGACAAGTTCCCACCGCTTCGATTCTCAGGTTTTGTTCGATTTGAGAATCCGGAATTTACCCTAAAATCATGCTCACTCCTAAAATATATACTACGAGTTTGAAATTGGACTCTTTCTGCTGCTCATCCTCTCTCTCTCTTTCTCTAAATATAATAAGAAAAGCAATGAGCTTAACCTTATGGACTAGACTTTAAACAAGAAGCGGATTCGTTCAGTGGAAAGAGGAGATGCGCACCAGTTCAATCCCACGCACCATGATTATACCACCCACAAAGCTCAACTCAAATTTTGCTTAAATTATGAGGTCATAAAGGAGTTCTGTGGGCTTCCCATCCTAAGGTGGAGCTTCGCGTCGATTGTCACATCCGCTTAAATTTGTCGGAATTTGAAAAGTTTTACAAGTTTTTAATTAATTGGTTAGACAAATTAGAAATTTGAGGACCATATTGAATAATAAGTGCAAGTTCAAAAGATCAAGGCTCCATTTATTTCGCAAATAATGAATGATCCGAAAAGTATTTTTCTAAATTGATTGTCCGTATCACTTGAAATAGTTGGTCGACGAAAATATTTTTATTATTAATAACGATTTATGTATTAACATTTCCGCGTGCAATGAAAATATCTTTCGTTTATTCATTTTTATAGGCGATATGAGCAATCATTTTCTAGATAAATATTTTTCGAATCATTTGTCGCGAAACAAACGCACTCCAAATATGCATTTTTTTTCCACGAAAGTAAAGATTAGCGTTGATACTTTTCTTCTATTTTATAGAGTGTACGAACTCTCCACCAATTCTATCTTATTCTTGATCTTTTTCAAAAGGGAATTAGAAGGGGCCGCTAAAAAAATTGAAAAGCCATCGGGTGCCATTTCCAAGTCCATCCAACGTGTCGGTTCTATCTTTGTTTGTCATATGCAAAGGTTGTTTAATATGACTTTTTCGTAGCAGCTCCAGCTGGCGCCGCAACTTTTATAAGATGTTTGATAAATACCTGACAACTAGTGCTGCAATGATAACACGTATCACCAAAAATATGTGTTAAAAGCAGTTCACGGCACAATTATGTCGAACCGTAGCTACAATTCAGCCACCAGCATACCAAATGAACTCGTAATCTCGTGAAAGGTATGTATATTACGCAAGCCAAGTATAGGCAAATAGTGGATGTGGTGGCGGGCCGGCTTTATCTATCACCTTTTACGGATGTCGCTGTGGCTGGACCGACTTCAGCCTACGGTCATGGTTCCAATTTTATCTCTCATTCTGTCCAACTTCAAGAATCATACTCAAAACTCAAATACTCCCTTGGAGAAGTTGGGACATGGGCAACCTAGCCAGGCCCAACCGGGCATGCAAACGATCTTTTTGTCCGAACCCTTTTCAAGCTTCCTGTTGACACCAAAAAATGCCCGAGCGTTTAGTTGACAGTTTGATCGGCAGAAGCCAAATAAGAGGGTGACAGGGGCAAAAAAATCGCCAAGTATTGGGAGCAATTAGTCGACAAAGTATGGTTGGCAGATATGAAAAACCAGTTTTAATTGATGGAGGTGTCAGCGAAAACTAGCAAAGCACTGGAGCGAAGAGTCGATGAATGGAGACCGACTTGGTCCACTAGTTGGAAGCGCAGAAGGTAACACTCGAGTAATGGAATCCATGTAACTGTCAATTAATAGAGTGGACGATTGCGGATATTATAACCGTTTGTTGACAGGTGTTGCGACAAAGTAGGAGCCACGTAGAGCACGTTTGATTTCTTAGTAACCCCGTCTACGTAATTGTCGATTGCGGGTATAAATATTCGAATTGTAATGTTTGTAAGAGACCGCCAATCAATCCGAGAAGACCTGATATTCATTTTTACTTGCAACGTTTTTACTTTTTCAGTACCGTTTACATCACCGGCAACGATTGTCCCCAGTATCCGCACTTTGAAAGGTATTTCGCCCTTTCCGGTGCAACGCTTCTATCAGTGCTCGAGACGGTCGGGTTCCGCCTATGGAAAGAGCTCAAGCCATTTAAATTATGGGCGGGCCGATCCACGTTAAGCCCAATAGTTGCAATTGGGCCTTAGTTTGGACAGCCCATATCTGGCATGGGGGACTCAAGAGGATGCACACAACCTTAGTGTTTAGCGTGTTACGATATGCTCCAATCCGAGTTCGGTTTATAGAGCTCAACTTCAGATTAGTTTTCTTATGAATGAAACAATCGAATCAATCTGCTCGAGTCTACATGAATCATCCAATAAAGTTGAGCCTGATTCACATATTGAGCCTCCGATACTGGAGGTGGAGGCCAGCTTGACTCTATCCGGCTTGGTTAATCGGAACTTATGTAACTTACTCAAAAGTTGTAAAATGAGGACAGGTAAAATAAATTACAAGAGTTTGCAAAGTAATCTCTCAGATAACAATAACATAAAGTTTACAGCACATACACGGAACAGTTTCTTATATGCATGTGACTCACAGATCGTACGGTTGCTTCCCAGTGAACTTGACCTCGATGGGGCTAACATTTTTCCCGATGGATCTGAAGTTCAGACCCACGCCCTGGCGACCCGGGTTCACCTTCTCCGGGTACACGCCGTCCTTTGGGTGAAGGTATTGGACTTCCCCGTTCGGGAACACCCTGTAGAATTGGTACTTGATCTTGTATTTCGACCTGAGTCTCGTTCCAAGAGCCAAACACTGCTCCTTCCTCGCCAGCTTCAGCAGGTTCGGGCCTTGCCGCATGATGGCGGCGCCGCCCGTCGGCATCTCAAAGATCTGCTCCTTCGGCGAGTCCCAAGTGATCACGTAAAACTCCTCGACCTAAGCCGCAAAATCATCATTAGCTATGCTCTTTATAACTGGCATGACAAATTCGGTCAATCGCATAGGATGAAAGACTATACAAGCACCAGGCTAGCTTAGTTAGGTGATTAAAAGACTCGCACCTGTGCCTTGCGTAACAAGCCACCGGTGCTGCCACCGAAGATTGGAGACGGGGTGTTTGGGTCCAGCTCCGGCGGCGTAAACCCGACGGGCGCCTCCTCCTTGGCAGGGGCTACGGCTTTTCCCTCCGCCGCAGCAGCTCTTATGGTCGTTCTTGGAGAGAACTTGAGCTCCTTAGGGTTCGGGAAGGACAGAGACGACGAGGCGGATTGTTTCCATGCAAGAGCGCTGCGGTCGCCGGATCTCGGGCCGGTGAGGGTTGGGGTGAAGAGGGAGGCTTGAGTTGCCATGGCCATTATTGGTGTAACACTTGGGCTTATGGATTATGTCACAGAAGAAGAAGAAGCGAAGAAGAGCTAGGGATGTGTGAGAACAATTTGGGTGAGCGAGAGAGGATGTGGGTATGGATAAGGTGTGAGATGTGTTGGACCGATTAGAATGTGTTATTTTGATACGTAGTCTTACTCTTACCCACACATTACCTTCTTCAAAATATTTTCCTACTTGCTTTGGTGACTTTTTCTGGTTTTTTGGGTCCACTAGTTGTTGCAGTACTTATTGTTTCCAAATGTGCTTGATGGAAGCTGAATTATCTTGAAGAAACAAGAGTAATGTTTAGTTATCTTCCGAGTTTTTCTATATGAATCTTCACGAGTAGTTCATGTGATTAGTGCGGCATTTCATTAAGGGAAAAAGTGCGAGTACGTTGGACTAGATATTCCTGGAAACAAGGCTTAGGGTATGCACATTTATGCCTCTTAGTTCTGATACAAACGAAAAATTTTCATGTTACATACAGGATCCTAGCAACTGAGAAAAGCAACCACCAGAGAATGCTATTACTACTTAAAAACTTCTCACGCTTACAAAACCTCAAATTGAAATGCTGTTTGGAATTCCCTTCCCTGTCAACCCCGCCTCCTTGGAGTAATCCGAGGCATTCGGATACAGCAGTGTGTAAGGCACCTTAACTGGCCCAACTCTGTTCTTCCGACTCTTGTCCTGGTTCATATCCATGATCCTGTTCTCAATATTGATCAACCGGTCCGTGAATCTCTGGAACGCTTGTTTCGGTTCTTCGTCTGATGTCCAATCGGGAGAGTCGTCTCTTTGGCCAAGGTAGATCTCGTCCGTCGAATGCCTTGATAGGATCTCAATCAGGGACACTCCTAGGAGCGTCTGCAGCTGAGCCGTTATGGTTTTCAAGTATGCCGCGTCAGGGTTTTTCTCGAGCTCTTCATATTCGGCAGTCCCCAGCTCGGGCATGAACCGGCGGCTGACAGTTGGGCGGTTCGGGAGGTACCCGGCGTAAGGGTACTGCCCGAAATTCACGGCCGCATGAAGGGCAGAGGCCACCCAGATGATGATGGTGCATGACTGGATGAGGTCGGCACACGTCTGCATTGCGGGCCACCAGGGCTCGTCTTTCTTGTCCCCATGGCCCTCGTTGCGGACCTCTGTCCACCAGGATTGAAGCTCCGAGTCACCTCGGACCAGGTCATCATGAGAATAATAGTAAGAACAGTAATCTTTCACCCAAGTCTCTATCGCGGACCATATTTCTAGACCATCAACTGCGTACGGGTAATCCTCAATTAGGAGCCTGAGGCCGTGGGGGCATCTTGAGTCCGGGATCGCCATTCCCCTGAAATGAAGCAAAAGAAATCAGAACACTTCTGTTCTTGATGAAGACCAAGAACAGAACGAAGACATTTTTAGATAGTCTTAAACGCCATTTAAATACCTTTTGATAAGGTCAGCAGGTAGTCCCTGCTCTGTGAAAACCCATTTCTTGTAAAGTACAGCAGACATTTCCATGGAGTATTTCCCAGGAAATACGGTCAATTCGAGCACTCCACCAGCATTGATCAAAATCTGTCTCGCCAAAGCGTTTATGTTCATCGTGTCACGGAAGTGGGGATGCAAGAGCTTGTATATCGGATGGATCACACTCAGCTGCCGGTTTGTCGCAATTATGAAGGGCTCTATCACGGCATGTGTGTTCAGCCTAGTGAAGACAGAAGATTTATAGCAGTCCGTCAATCATACACGAAGAGAAAAGCTATAATGTACTCACACAACTGTATGATGTTTTACCAGTGGCTGATGAGCTGGTGGTAGCCAGAGTCATTTACAGCAACATAAGCCTTGGCAAGCTGCCAGACCGAGCCCTCAACTCCATTTTCTGCAGGAGTGAAGACCTTGCTGACGGCTCCGTGATAATCTCCTTGCGCATGCGGTAAGCTCAACTCAATCGCCAGCGGCTTCAACGTCTCGTCGTCTTGCAGTAGCAACAGTGTTCTAGTCGCATACATCTTCGTGGTGGTTGAGTTTATAAGCCTCAGGTACGGCATCAGCGCGTCATGGTGGTCCAGTATGAACATCCTGTTCCTTCGAATCGCCTTTTGCAGGGGAAAAAATGAACATGATGAATAATCACTTGCACTCTTTTTGTTTGACAGAATTAAAATGGAAAAATAAAAAAGCATGCCCAAGTTTTCATCCAATGTCAAAAACACACGTGCATCTTTCAAAACTACAGATTATCGGACGGTGTTGGCTGCGTGGTCAGAGTCGACAGAGGTGGTGGCCGATGGCGGGGGAGGATGGCTGCTGAGAAGACCAAGAGTTTGGGCATGTGAGTAGTGTGAGGTTAGTGTTTTTGAGATGTCTACACAAGGAAGAGTAATTAGGTCATTTTAATGGCGCAGAGACATGTAACCTGTAATTTTGAAAAAACAGATATGCTCTTGGCTATGGTTTGAAACTCAGGCATGTTTTCAAAAACATACATGCATCTTCCAAAGACATGCTCTTACCTCATCTACTGTGATTCCATTCATGTTCATTTCTATGTGTCCCTTTCTTATTGAACTGCGTTGGTTACCATATTTTGCAGGATCAAGCTTGCTTGTTGGCGGAAATTCCTGCACACAGTTCATGATTGTTGAGTTACATGAGGAAAAGCCAATTTGATTAATTTTTCACATGTTGCGCTTACTTGGAGACGGCTGATAATGACGGGGTTCACTCCGGCGAGCATTTCGCGCCCGAATTCTTCATCGGTTCTCCAGGCAGATTTATCCTCTACAGTCACTCAAACGGGAAAATTAAGTTGTCAACTAATGATGAGATTATTAACTCGATTTTAAGGAACCAAGAAAGTGAGAGATTATCCACCTCTGATGACATCGGGCATCGGGAACTTGAGGAGCTGCTCGCCATCATTTCGGACAAGTTCCTTGATCAACTCCCACGGGATGCGGTCCTTGAGCTTACCAAACCTTGGCCCGCTGGGCAGCTTGATGCCGCCTTCATAAAGTCTAAGCACGTCCTCAAACGAGTCGAACTCATTGAAAGTTTTGTTGCCTATGGAGGTGATCTCAGGGAGCAGCACTTGACCCAGAGACTTCAGAGCATAAGCCAGAAAGTCCGAGAACTTTATGTGGCTGAACCGTTCGTCTCTTGGAACGTAAATGTTTAAACTCAGCAGAGGCAGTCTGCTCTCGCAATTCGGATCTGTTAAGACAACATAATCTGTCTAGTGCTGGAAATCAATGGGAAAAAATGTTATGGTATCTTTGAATATAGATTGTACTAAGAAATCTGACCAGCCTTTGTTGGTTTTCGACCAGTTCGCCCTCTCCTAGGATATGGATAGTCCTCGCTTCCGCCTAGGACTTGGCGTTTGTGGTCAGGACCTTTATCGGGACTTCCTAGGTCATTGTAATAAGCATAGTCATAAACTCTGTCCCATTCCTTGAGCTCACCGGAACCACTTCCTCGTAGGTTAACAAGTTCCTCCTCCCTGTACTTGCGTAATGGCACCGGCGTCTGACACGGTAGGTAGGTCTGAATTTGAAAACGAACAAACTCATCATTAACATGTAAGTTCGATTCGCATATTATAGTATCAGCAGTATCATCAAATTCAGAACTATTAGAAATGAAATTTCAAAACCATTTTGTTCTTTGTTCCTCGTACTGTACATTCGAAACTAATCGAAGTTTGTCCTAGAGAGTTGGTATTTTGAAAGAAAAATCTCCCTTGAAGCAGTGAATAGTGGCATTTCTGAAAGTGCGGTATCTAATCTGGAAAGCACAGTAGTATGTCGATGTTCCATCAAACAAAAGTGTCTACAATCCATAAGCTTCCAATAATCAAGGACAAAGAGTATAAAAACATGATAAAAGCACTCTCGCAGCAGGACAAAAAGTGTGCTTTGATGGTAACATCAATTTTAGGCGTCATCAAACATTACTTGATAGAAGAAGTGCCATCATCGGTCATGAGCAACAAGATTGTCCAATCTGGTCCATTCACGAGCATGATCTCAGGCGGATAACCGATAGGCCCCATGCTCATGGCCGTGAATGAGATGCTACGACTTATCTATCGACAGTGAAATTTATCCCTAGCTATAGGAGATTCGTAAACTGACCGCAGTTGTTCAGGTGCAGAGTGACACTGGTAAATGGGTACTGCTTAAGCTAAATCACTTGTGATAAATGAATGTTACCTTGTTTGAGAAGAAAACTCTGTCATACTTGTATCTATGTGATGGGTAAACCCAAGAATTGCAGACGAATTTGACGGTGCCATGACCCGGGACGTCTTCTAGGGTGACCGTCTTTAGGTAGAACTGGCTGTGATGATGGTTCCTGATGATGAACGCCCCGGGAACACCCATCGACTTGTCCCACTCGAACATGACGCCAAACTCTGCCTCTCCCGCTGTCAAGGAAGTGATCTTTCTGATCCATTTCTCCAAGTATGCCACTTTTCCAAGCTTTCCTCCGACCCCGTTTGCTAAAATTGCATTAACGAGGGTAAACTTCGGTCACAATCTTTTGGCAAATCATTTTGGTGCGAACGGGAAACTAAACAAGCAAGCAGGGTCTTGGCACTCCTATCTTCCAGTTTTGTTAAAATTAAGAATTGTTCATGAGAAGACATTGTAGAACTACAAAGTTCTGTATTTGTTAATTCTTTCAGTTTTCTTAAAATCAAGCTCGTGTTCTGAGCTACTGTCAAATGAGAAATTTAGGGGAATGTGAAACGCAAGAAGCGAACGAAGTTCAGCAGACATACAACGAAAGAAAACTCCAAAAAAAAAAAAACCAGATGTGCACATTCAAGTAAACACCAAGAAAACAAATATCGGGTCCCAGCTCTTATTATAAGCCTTAGGATAACAGCTAAATTACGAGACTCTCCTAAGAAACCAGTGACGGAAACTGATTGCATTGTCGACATCACTCAAACACACTGACGTGGTAATAATTATGCAGAAACATCAATCGCAAACCAGAAAAAAAAAATGACCCTTCTTTCATTTTGCTTAGCGCCGAAGCCAACCAATGCATCGCTTTCTCTATATTGTCATGCTATCTCTGTCATCGGTACAGTACACGAAACTTCGAGTTTGAAAGAGAGTGAGAGAAGGAGAGAGAGAGGGAGAGAGAGAGAGAGAGAGAGAGAGAGAGAACAGAGAAGAAGACTAACATGGGTCGGGATGGACGGCGCTGACGAGTTGCAAGGACACTCCTCGGCCGAACAGCTCGTGGATCCGATCGAGCAACGAGGCCTTCATGTCGTTCATGTCCAACACATTCTTCTTCATCAGCTTCACGGTCCCTCTGATCTTCTTGACACTACCGTTGTTGTTACTGTTGTTGGTGGTGGTGGCGGCGGCGGCGGTGTCGGCGCCGTGATCCTCCTTCTCAATCGCTTTCCTCTTCACCTTCACGCAGCACATCTTCGTCACCCTCTGCAGCATCTTCGATCTCGAACCGAACCCCGTGAAAGCTCCCGATCAAGAACAAGAACAAGAAGAAGAAGAAGAGGGGGAACAAAAAAATTTGGAGTGGACAGAGGACTGAGGAGGAGCAAATGGATGAATATGGAGATTTGTGAATCTTGTTTTGGTTGGCTTGACTTGGGAAGGACTTGGGGGTCTTCGTCTGCATGTGTGTGGTGTCAGGAATTATTTATAGAGAGTTTGAAAGCTTGGTGAGGTGCAACCTCCATGGTGGGGGTGGGGGTGGGGATGGGGGCCTTCCTATGGAACTTCTTGCTCTCTTTATCAGCTGATGAAAAGGACCAGATTCCATAGCTGTTATTCTTTTTTCTTTTTTTTTTGATAATCGAGGTGTCCGCGCGGCCGTGCCAGAAACAGCTCAAACCAGGCGGTGATGATGCCCGATTAGTCTCGAGGGCTAGCGCAGATCCCACCGCCACGACCCCCACTTAAGTCACCGATGGGCGAGTTTTGAACCCAGGACCTCTCGTGAAAGGAACTGAGCGCAAACCAACGCGGTCACCGATGGGTGGGTTCCGTTATTCCATCCTTCAAGAACAGAATAAACATAAATTTCGATTTTTTCACGGAATTCATTTATTCCGTCCACGGCCATTCGAAGCTAAAAGTGCATCGCGACGCCGTGTGTATACGTGCCTAAATATGTTTCTCTAAAGTTCTTATGGTATCTAGATGAATGGTCTGACTTCGTCGCGTGAATTTTACCGTTCAGTCGTGAATGAATCCGGTCTTTAAGAAATGGTTTGAGTTTTTGCAAGATGAATTATAAAAATCAATTGTACCAATTCTTATGATTTTGGTGTACACATAAAAAAGAATTTTGTCATGTTTCCGTAGATTGTGTATTTCGATTTTAGGTTATATAGAAGCATGGGCTTTACTACTCTAGATTCTTAAAGCAATGCCTTTTTTGGAAATTCGAACAATTCCAAATAGTTACTCCCATCTTGTACATTATTTTTGAGTTCTTATTACAACATTATTATTTCCAATCGGACCCTTAATTTATTTTGTTGAATCCAACGAAATAGCATCGGTTAGAAATTAACCATAGTCAAATGCAATTCCTCGGCCATTCTAAGATAAATAAAAAAATTAGAAAAAATACGTATTGAGCTGTTATTCAGCGAGTATGATACTACACGCATTATTAAATCTGACGGTCCAGATATAATTCTAGTACTTATGCTCCACTCATTAATTAACTTCTCCCGAAAACGAGACCTGACAATATTGCGACCCGGAAGGTAACGTCTTCTTAGCACGATCAACAACAGAAATTGCAGGTAGCATTGAAAGCACGACAATCGGACGCTTCAACTACCTCAATCCCTCATAAATCCCTAGATATGACTGCAAGTCCTTTCTCACTAGTTACCTTGACCATTGGATCAGATGTAAATTGCCCATTTACCGGGACGGCGCTTGTGGGAAAAATATTTGACTATAACGTTAGATTGAAAACTTTTTGCTGTGAGTCTCATCCCACGGGGGTACATCTTGATTTGGTCGGACTCCTTTGTTCCTTTCTTGGGTGTTGGCTCATGCAAGAACGATTCATTTACATAAAAAATTTGCTTCTGTTCGACATCAAAAGAAGATCTACAGCTATGATGCCACCCAAACCCAATTAATTAATCACCAAACAATTTGATTAGTTTAGGGCAATCCGTGTGCTTCCGATCCAGGTCGTGCCATGTGGATATTGTAAACTATCAAAAAGGTGTTTGCAGATTCTGGAGCATTGAGCGTTTCATGTGTGGGACTGCCCAAATGGGTCAAAGCAATTTTCATTATATGCCCCTTAATCAATTGGGACTACTGCAGATAGGGTTCCCATCCCCTAGGCTGTGAGCTTAACAAAAAGATTGGTGGCCTCAAATCGATAAATTAATGCCAAACTACACAAATTCCTGTCTGTACCTTCTTGCTTTCAATAGCAATCTCGGATTTTTTTCTTATAATGTCTACTGCGGATTTCTTTTGACTTTCAAATTTACGAGTGATGTCTAAAAAAGAGGGTATTTGGGGCACGAAAATTTCTTGCAAAATAATTGCATTTTGTTCTATTAACGAGGAAATTTTCTTTTCTTTTCAAGATTGTCATTGATGCTTTTCTCTGCATAGACCAAATTTTAGGATATGATAAATGGCTCGCATCACATGCAAACAAAGATGTAGTTGTGCGAGCACATCAGTTGCTTTAAGAAATGAGATACAGGCCATCGGAAGCGACGGTCGAGACGTGAAGTTAGATGAGAAAGGAACATGTAATTACTCCGATGAAGACAGAGACATTAGGATCAAGGCTAGTGGAATGTGGGGGCTCAAGTTGGGCGGTATTCAATAAGGAAAAAAATTCAAAGGGCACGAAGCGACAACGGAAATGTACCACAATATCCTCGAATATTTTCCAAGTCCACTTTGCACCCCATTGTTTTTATCAGACTTTAGATCACGGTTTACATCAATTGATATCGTGATTTTATTTACGAAATCATTCTTTCTCTTTTGAAAAATGTTTTTACCACTCTTCTAGCTCCAATCCATGAAAAAACCCTAATTTTTTTTTCGGTCGAAATGGAAAAAACCCTAATTCACGAGTCCTAACCCTAGCAACTTTCTTTCTCTGCCCTCGCGGTCTCCGACAACAACACCGCCCCGTCACCACCCTCTACTCCTTTTTTTCATCACGCCTGTGAGATTTTATGGGAGTGCTGTCAACTATTCTAAAAGTTTAAAGCTATTAGATGAATGCACAATTTCATATTTAAATATTCTAACAACATCGCTTACAAGTAGGCTGCACTTTGGCCTAAAGCTTAAAGTGTAGAAATACGTGTAATTAGGAGGGCAATTAGGGGCCTGAAAATATTTCGATCATATGAGATTTTGTAAAACCGCAATTAACTATAACCCACGGAGGAATTATACGTTCAATTCAACCTAAGAAATGGTCGAGATCAATGAGTTGCCAAACCCCCCATGCACAGCATGGATCGGAGAGTGTAATGGCCATTGCGCTCCAGCCAGCTTGAGGGTTCCCACACACAGCATCATGGAACCCTCAAAACCAATACTTAATTTTATAGAAAGTAATGCTATTCTAACAATCACAGGACCTGTGGTCCCCATTCCGCTTTTTCTTTGATGATCGATTTTTTTAATTTCGTAGTTTTGTATTTGTTTAAGGTTTAAGAGCCACATCAAGCGCCGAAGCAGCATTTAATGGCCATTTTGGCTGTCAAATCGGCATTTCTGTCCAAACCATTTGACGGAGGGCCTAACATTGCATAAATTATAAAATTTAAAAGATCAATTGCACAAAAAAATGTTAAAGGACAACGCTGCACAAATCGAAAAATTCATGGGCCTCACATACATAACAATAGAAAAAAAAGAAAAAAGCAGGACAACGAATAAATTGGGGATACATTTTAAATTCAATAGAATGATTAAGAGCAATTTTATCTTCTTAGTGATTAGAGGTGAACTTAGTCTTAAAGGGAGCGAATGTAGCCTTGCCTTTAAATAAATAACATTGTAACATAATGCGTGATTGATCATTGAGAGAAGTAGAACTGTAGAAGTGATAAAGACGGTACCGCCAGACAACAGTCACTTTGATAATGAGACAATGGTTGTGAAATCACGTTTGCCAACCTTATGATAAACTTCCACTTAGATTAATTAGTTTAAAAGTGACATTTTAGTGACAAGGAAACCCACCATAAATGACAAGCGTGATTCATGTTTCTTTTCCTAACTTTACGAAAACTATAAAGGTAAAAAAAAAGTCAATCTGAAATCTTGGAGTCTTTGGTCGTCTCAAGAGGAATAATAACTTAGAATAAGCTAGCAACGGAGCAAGCATTATTGTGTAATTCTAATGTTTTCTTTAGAACTTCATGATCGATCATGACCGTCAATTGCACAACTGGATGATTATGGAACTCATCCGGAAATTTGAGAGATTGACGGCTCTGATCAATCTTGAATTACCAAAAAAAGAACTTTGCTTTAGGACTAGCTAAATTAATTTCGTAGATATAGGTCATTGGGTTTATTTATAGGTTATTACCATGAAAAACCCCAAACTGGTACATCCGTAATAAATTTACCCCCCGTTAGTTTCCGTTAAATTTTACTGTCAAATTATTTTGTTAAATGACACATGACAGTTTTACTTTCCGTTTGCCCCAAATGTACTAGTTTGTAATTTTTTTTAATTAATTCAATTTAATTAAGGATAAATTTGTCACAAGTGTACCAGTTTTGGATTTTTGATGGTCAAAAAATTAGTTTAGGATAAATTTGTCACAAATGTACCAGTTTTGGATTTTTTTATGATAAAAAAATTAGTTTGAGGTAAATTTGTTATAGGTGTATCAGTTTAGGGTTTTTCATGCTATTTGATTTTATTTATAATATTTCCTTGTCCTCGTTAATGGAGGCTGATGTGGCACTTTATTTATGCATGTCTCAGTGACATCAAGTTGAGATTTTTTTTTTGTCTAATACTTAATATGAACTTGTTGTCCAATAGGAATCGCACACCGATTTCAAAAGAATAATACAAATAAACAATCAATAAAAGCAAACTATTATAATAAAAGAATAGATTCGAAATAACACACCATAAATTTTTTTTATCGAAGTTCACCCAAACTTTGGTTATGTCTCTATGCTGAGGCACCATATAAATCAACTAGATTTTGAAGAAAGTTAAAATACAATAATAATCTTCTCTTAAAATCGTGACACAGAGATTGAGAACACTTACGAAGAAAAAGCCATTTTTTCTTCTCTCTTTGCCACACACACTCACAATTTTCTTTCTTTTGCCCGTCACGTCCTCTCTTTTTCTTTTCTGTCTTTTTTTTATCAACCAATTCACAACTACTGCCTCTCAATGGCTGATATATGAGATGTAGCTTTTAACCTAAAAGAAAAATAAAGATAAAAGAGAAAAAAGCCCTTGATAAAATAGTTTGGCTTCACCCGCCAACAGTCCACTCCTTTAGTAATATAAGGGATAGAAATTATTCAAACGTGTATATATCATTTTTTTCTTAAATTATACGCAATGAAAATTTGACATTACTATAATACCCATGAGTTTATTAAATCAATTGTACGACATATTAATTGCGAATCAATATAC